GTGGCTGGCCTCCACCTACGGCCCTGGGCCTGGCCTGATTCAGTGCTCCCACAGGCTCGTGGTTCTTGGTTTTCCCCTTTCAACGTAAGTGCATTGTTCTCTTATCAGGCCCCCAGTTGTATGGCTTAATGTGCATACACGCTGGCGAGGTAGGGTGGGCCTCTTTTTGCCCGGTGAGGGGCCCAGCATTTGACATTCAAGGGCTTCAGGGAAAACTGCACTATGATCAGGCCTTTTCCCTTTTTCCTGAGCTTTCAGGGAACTCATGTACCCTCTCGTGTGACTAAAGGCTTTTTCTTTTACCCAAATTTGTCCTTTCCCAAGAACCCAGGCTCTAAAGTGGCAACTCTTAATACACTAACTCTTAAGTTCCACCCTGATGTCTTCAGCTATTGGTAACTCACTTTCATTGTCTACGTAAACCAGCTTCAGCTCCATCTCCCAGCAGAAGCATCTACTTGAGAGGGAGGGGCTCTACTGTAGAGGCAATACACCTTCACTTTGGTAAATCTAGAAAATACAGATAAGTAAATAGAGGAAGACTAGGATAATCGGTGATCCAGCCATGCAGAGTCAACTTGCCGGTAACATTCCACAGTGTTTGCCATGGGTACTTTTTTTTCCCTTCAGAAATGGCATCACTTAATACAATTCTGGTTTGTGGACTTTTTTAATTTTTCTGAGCTTATACTCTTCTGGATTATAAAACATGGATGTTAATGGTCTCTCACACAGGTGTGCTTTAATTTATTAACGAACCTCCTGTTGTCCACAGGTCCCATCCAGGAGGTTTTTGTGTAGACGATGAATGGACACCAACTAGAGACACTGTGCACGAGGCCCCCATGATGTGATGTTTGGCTTCTCCTGATGGGGAGGGCAGATGTGGTCAAGCACAGGATGTTTGGGTTCCGTCGTGTGAGTTTGCTTTGAAATTGTGCATCTTCACTTAAGAAACAAGTGGCACACCCAGCACCAAGTGTGTAAATGTCTTACTGAAACCTTCCTGAGGTGTGTGCTGTCTCACAACATATATACTTCAAAGTAATCGCAGGGCATTATAATAAAGTATACTTCTGGTGACGTATGATCTGACAAAGCATTTGTGTGAAACGTCTCTCAAAGATGACACACATTGAATAGTATTTAGTCCTATATGAAATAGATAAGGATTTCTTCATATTACTTGGGATACAAAAATGTCATATTATTTGAAGCCCTCACTTGTAAAGGGCAACAAGGAGTGTTCTGTATTAATCGCTGGAGGGTCCTTCACATTTTAGACTGTACCAGTGTCGCCGATAGGTGCAACTGGTGTTCCAGGCACTTGTCCCGTCCCAGAAAGAATTTAGAGACAAGACTTAGAGGTTAAAAAGGTAAAGTGAGGATTTATTAAAGAATGGATAGTACACTCTCAGGGGAGAGCGGGCAGGCTCAGGTGAGCAGCTGCCCTGAGTTTCTTTGGCAAGTTAGTTACATAGGATGTAAAAATAAATGGGCGTAATATTCACTGGGGAGGGAAGGGTTTGGGGTCGTGTTCCCTGATTATCATCCCAACTCCACCTTCCCGAAGGGAGGAGGGAATTTTGTCCTTATTTAGTCTGGATCGGGAGTGTCATGGCATTGGTGTGTGATGGGTACTTCTGATCTGCAAGGCTAATTTTATTGAAATGAGGGCATAATGAGTAAAAGGTTACATTCGGACACTGGAAATTCCTGCCTTTTCTGACCTTTCTTTGTTGGTCTCCAAGCCAAAAGGTGTGGCCCCTTATCAGCCCAAAGATTCCAGCTTTTCTTTCTCTGCCCAAGGATCCCTGCTG